CCAAATACGAAAACGCGAGTCCCGTCTTGCGCTCGAAGAACTTGGCCGGAATATGGTCACGGATCTCCTTGAGGGTGCTGGAGATGACGGTCAGTGTGCACAGTTCCAGCCCCGTGGAGGAGCAGCAGACGCACTATTGCAGAGGAACGAACTCCTGTTCTTCTTTGTTGACTCGAGGTGCCATGTCGAAACCACTCAGGAGAAAGGGAAAGAGGCGATGAGGATCTTTGCCGCAAATACTGCGTCAAGATATAGGGAAGACGGAGACGGCCGAGGAGATTCTTTCGGACTAGCAGAATCTGAGGTGATGAGGCTCGAGACGGTAGGCATCACTTCGAAGAAGAAGCAACTCAAGAGATCCATACTCCAGTATCTTCACTCTCCAATCAATTTTCTCTCCGCACCTGCGGTAGGGCACGCTCATAGCTGCGGATTTAGGGACAAAGATTATCATCAGATAAGTATGCTTCGAGCCGTGTCCGGTCGCTTAGTAAAGCTTTGATGATCGATCATGCCGCGGCGTCCTGTTCATTCTCGACTGCGCATGAGTCTGGCTCTATCTGGCTCCCGAATGGTGCCATGTCCGGCACCGGGTGCTCAATTCACTTGAGTAATTTATTCCGCCCATGCAATCTGACTATTTGATGCATCAGGCGCTCTTCATAACAAGAGGCGACGATGCATCTATTTTCGTAGCCTTCCTGAATGACAATATCCCATACGCATGAATTCTTCGCGCCTATCAACCTGTTCAGTGTGTGCCAACATTCTGATATCTACAATCCGAGTTGCGCCGTAATGGCCGCAGAATATGCTCGTCGAGAAGGCAGATCAATTCCGGTCCGATCTTGCTCTGCAGAACCTTTCTCATCTAAGGACAACTGTCAACGGCCGCTGAGAATCCTCCCTACTTCCGCACAAGCTCCACTGTACGCGAAAGTCTCACATCGAAGCGATGCTCCGCTAATCTTTGTCCTGGGACTCGTGCAGCCTGCCTTCCCCGAAGCAGTGACTCCGAGGAGCAAACCTGTTTTTTGCACAGCACCGGATTCATCACGAGATCATACTTCTTTACTTTTGAGAAAGCCTTCCTGGAATAGCGAGCATTAGGTACATTCCTGAAGAGACTGAATCTCCAATCTAACGCGTTTGGACATCGGATCCGCAACACTCAGATTTTGAGCTGATTTGGGCTTGCCGTTTCGATGAACATGGGCAATTTCGGTGTCCATTAGTGGGTGAGCAGGGACCCTGTAATGCGCAGCTTGATGATCGCCATTCCCCACGACTAGGATCACTACCTGTAATCTTCTTCGGGCCGGGGGCGGAAATTTCTTTGCTGGCTCAAACCTGCAGCATTGTTGATTTATGCCGACGAGAGATTCGATGCCTTGAAATCCAAAAACCAGCTACCCAATCGATCCCAGTCAGGCGCGGGGATTGTGATTGAAAAACATTCATCAGAATGATTTACCTTCTTGGATCACTCTGCACCATGAGCGATAGAAGAAACCACTCCGTCTTCGAGCCTAACTCCGAGATAGAGCTGGCGGGTAAGACCCTAATCACGTTCATGGTCCATGCACCTGGCTGCAGACGATGAAGTCACGCGTACAGGGTAGACTCGCGAATTGCCGGAGAACATCTCTCGTTGGCAATGTTCTAAGCGGCCCTCCGTATGAACTCCAAGGATCCGGAATATCTTTCTCGCTACTTCATCGGAGCGCTTTGTATTTCCTTCCACAGAAGGCGGACATGAATCGATCGATCCGCTGAATGGATCAAGTCTCGCGCGTAAGATGCCTACGAATTGCGAGTTCGCGCAGGAATAGTCCAGCTTCGTAGATCATTCAACCCCGAGAACCATGCAAAGAACTTCCACTCATTTGGGCTTAACTCCGAATCAGACCAAGCCAGTGAGACAGACTATAATCATGTCTTGGTCGTGCGCCTCGGCGCGGGCGATGAATTCACGCGTGCAGCGGTCTGCTCTTTCGCTCGTAAGGCTCGGAGAGGCTGCCAGTATGAGATTACACGGCCTATGAGATCTATAGTTCAGCTTCAAGATTGCACTTTGTGCTCTTGTCGCCGCATGGAAGAAAGACACTGATCGATCGATTCTCACGTGAGGGCGCGGCATCATGGGGTATCCCCATTCGGCCCGGCAATCCACTCGACACCTTCCTCTCTGAGAACGCCTGCCTGAGCATTCCAAGATCTGCCGTTCGACCAATCACGATGCACAGGAAGTAATTCACGCCATATATCGAGCACTCGCAGGTTTTACCCTTGCTCTGCTCGTCTCCCCAATCTGGTCGAGCACACCAAGCACAGCTCATGTTTACTGAAAGCCCCGAGTACATCAAGAGGCGGAACACCCCGTTCTCACCGCCCACTGTGAGCCGGCCCCGTGCTCCACTGACTGACTGGCTGCTGACACGGAGAGCACAGATAACATGGAAGGAGCTGCGTGCGGTGATACCTCCCGAGCTGTTTCGCAAGTCGACGTTCCGCGGGATGGTCAGCTTCGTCAAGGACGTCGCCTCGGTCGTGATTTTGTTCGCGCTCGGCCAGCGGATCGACGGATTTGCGGCGGAGGTCGCCGTCGCGCGTGAGCTGACTCCAGGTGTCGCGTCGGTGCTCAAGTGGACGCTGTGGTCTGCGTACTGGTATGCGCAGAGCATTGCTATGGCTGGCTGCTGGTGTCTCGGTCCGTGACATCTCTTCTCCCCTCCCTCTGCGCAGTACTGACCATGAATCGATCACCATCAGGCCACGAGGCTGGACACCAGAACGTGTCGCCGTATGGCGTAGTGAACGACACTGTCGGGTACATCCTCCACACCGCGCTCCTCACGCCATACTTTGCCTGGAAGCGGTCGCACCACACGCACCACGTGAGTCCTTGCATGGGCAGTCCGGTATAGCGTGTGATGCTGACCACCCTTGTGCCAGAAAACTGTGGGCTCGATCGAGCGCGACGAGAACTACGTGCCCCGCACGAAGTCGGAACTCGGAATCACGACGAAGGAGCAGCTGCACGAGATGTTCGAGGAGACGCCCCTCTACACGCTCGTCCGCATGTGCGTCATGCAGCTTCTCGGATTCCAGGTCTATCTGCTCTTCAATACCCTCGGCTCGCCGCACGACCCGGCTGGCACCAATGTGTGTGGCCGTTTGATTTCCCTCTCCTGCACACTCAGTCTCACGGACCCAATAGCACTTCTCGCCATACTCTGTGCTGTTCAAGCCCGAGGATTTCTGGAACATCGTACTTTCTGATGCTGGGCTGGTCGTGACATCGTCGCTGCTGATCAAATACGGCATGCAGGTCGGTGCTGCCAACCTCTTCAAGCAGTACATTTTCCCGTACTTGGTTCGTCCCAGGTCTGCACAGTCGCAGTTCCGTCGTCTGATCGTCTCGCAGCTCTGCCACCACTGGATTGTGATGCTGACGTACCTGCACCACTCTGACCCGACGCTGCCGCACTACCGCAAGGGCCAGTGGACGTTCCTTCGCGGATGCCTGGCGACTGTCGATCGGCCATTGCTTGGCTATATTGGCCGGCTGTACTTCCACAATGTCAGTCCTCGTCGCACTCTGGTGGATTGGTATTGACCGCTGCAACAGGTCTCGCACGACCACATTGGCCACCACCTCTTCACTTCTATTCCGTACTGTGCGTGCCTCCTCACACACTAGAACTTTCTCACTGACTGAGCTCCGTTCAGACAACCAGCCTGAGGTGACCAAGCGCATCAAAGCCGTGCTCGGCGTTCACTACAATGGCGACAACACGGTGCGTTCCCAATTCAAACCCCCCAATTATGACTGCATCCCTCGTGCATTGCTGATGTTCTTCCCCGCACAGAACACGTTCTACGCGCTCTACCGCTCGTTCACGACCTGCTGCTACATCGAGGACGAGGGCGATGTGGTGATGTACAGCAACGGGAAGGGCGAGACGATGCGGGAAGTTGTGCAGGACCCTGGCAACCGGCGCGAGAGCGACGCGATTCCGGACATGCTGACTTCGCTGCACACGGCTGGTTGAGCGTGGTACATGCTTGTTCGGGCATTTCGTAAATCACGCCTTGAGTTCAGACTTGTGCCAGTAGATGTAAATGAATATAGTTATCGATTCCTACTCAATCATCTCCCTTCCTCATACTCTGCAAGCCGCACTTGGCACGACAACCTCAGTTTTGGCGGTACTGTTATCTCAGATCTTTCACTTCCTTGCAAGTTCCACAAGGCAGAAACCCTCAGCTTTCACTTCATTTTTGAACTTGCTGCGAGTGTCAGAATTCACGGTCATCCCCGTTCTTTCCTTTTTCAGACTCCCTACGCTTGATGCACCTCCATTTTCCAGTTTGCTGAATCTTCTCTTGCATAAAAATCAACAGGTGTACGATGACTGGCAATGAGACAAGTGAACATTTTGCTCTTCTGTCGACAGCTTTCCAACCCTGGTGTAGAACTCAGCTGGCGCGAATCAAAGGTTCTTCTCGTCTTCGATCATAATATGGTAAATAACGCGAACATTTCATCCAAAACTGGCAAGCGACTGAGGGCAGTGTACTCGTAAGCGGTGAGTGCACATCAGTCAAGTCCGTGCGCCGAAATAGGCGATGGACTAGGAAAATTATGGAGAACACGGGCCTGCTAGGGCTATATATTTTTGCTCTCGTTTACATCGGGAAGTTCCGAACCAGACGGGCGTTCGGAACTGGGATAACCAATCGGCATCGAAACTTTGCCATCATTCAGATCAGAAGTTTAGTGTGGCGCTGAGGATGTAACACCGCTGCCGGTCGTCTATTGTTGATCAAATGATGATCTTATCATCTGCCAGATGGATGTCGTGATACACATCTTATGACTCCATCACGTGTCATCTAGAGTCATGTCGACTCGTCCTAAATAGACACAAATAGCCCTCTGTATTGTATATAAGGAGGGCTCTATTACCCTATAATACAAGTCTCTTGACTACTCCCGCATAGTGCCCACACTAAGCTCTCACTCACACAGGTGAGCTGCTAGACGCTCTCCCCAGTGCTCAACAGGTTATGGGCCCTGAGAGCTATGTCTGCGCCTCAGTGGCCGCGACATTCATTGTATGCGCCGTCACTGGCTGCAACAATGAGCAGCGTCTTTAGCCTATCTGTATTCACTTCAGCTGCTGCACAGCGCTGGTGAAACCATGCCGGATCGCGATTACATCGCTTGATCCAGATGCATCGATCTCTCAAGGAGATTATGATCTATGAGAATCTGATCATCTTGATCTTTGATTTTATCTATCAGATTAGATTGATGCTGATTAAGTCACACAGATCAATATGTCGTCCAACTCCAACAACATCTTCAATGCTGTCTCCATCTTTGATGGAAAGCACTGGCTTGTATGGTCCGGAACTATGGAGTCCTACCTGGAGCATCAGGGGATCTCATATGTGCTGACCGAAACCGTGCCAACCGAAGTCAAAGCAACTGATGGCTCTGTGACCAACGCATCGGAGATCAAGCAATGGAAGCATGATGATCTCAGAGCCAAAGGCAGCATTAAGTTGCGCCTGACTGAGGGAGTCATTGCTAACATTCCTCCTGCGTGTCAGGGGACGCCGCGCTCCTTGGGCACGTGACCATGCACGTGACCCACTGCGCCCTCTCTGCCGACCCGTGCCTGCTCACCTGTCGATCACCCAGCCTCCTCCTCCTCCTCCGATCCTCATCTCCATCCATGCCGATATCCGCCCTCTCCCTCCTTCTCCCGGCCATCTCCCTCGAGTCCCCGCAAGCGGTCTAGCCAAGCCCGATTTCTTGCACCAGGGAGTGCTACTGCCGTACGCACTCCTCCCCCTTCACTTTGGCCTTCTCCCCGCGGATGTGGTCTACTGCCGTACAGGCTCGTACCAGATGCCTTTGCGCTCATCCGCACCACCCCTCTTCCCAGTCGGGCATTGGTCCTCGCCTCCGATGTCTCCACTGGCCGGCCCGGCACTGGCCTGGCCACTGGGCTCCTCCAGTGTGGCCTTCCACTGTTGGTGTCTCAGGAGCTGGCCATCACTGGCCCCTCTGAGCCACTCACTATCTTATCTGGGTTTGTCATTATCTACTTGTCATCTGCCATTGTTCCATGGCAGTGATATCCCATCATCATCGGTCACTTGTCACAGCTGACTATATAGTGTGACACCTGGGCACATGGATCCTTGAACCGTTCTCTAAGGATCCCCCTCTGTGCTCAGGTGAGTAGTATACCTCCCTTGTATTTGATAGTCTCTAAGGATCCCCCTCTGTGCTCAGACTCATGTGAGGTTGTTGTGTGCTGTGTGCTCTCCTCCTTCGGGCTGGCAGGAGTTGCCCTTACACTGCGGATATAGTGTCAGCTGCCAAGATCTGGACGCATCTGAAGACCCAATACGGTGGTGCTCAGTGCGCCAACCTATATGCGTACTTCCAAACCGCGTTGAACGCCAAGTACAACGTGGGATTGCACCCGGATCCACAGCTGCTGGTGATCACTACGGCGTTCGCTTGCCTGGAGAATGAGTCTTTGAGCATCCCTGAGTTCCTCAGAGCGATGATCATTCTCAACATAGCCCGGATTCCCTCCGTCACAGAGACTGTTCTCCAGACCTATGAAAAGGACAAGATCAAAGTCTCGGCGGTTCGTGACGCTCTCTTGACGCATTTTGCTCAGAAGCAGTCTCAAAGCCAGAATCATGTGGCCAAGTTCAATACCAAGCGCAAGCGCGATGACCCTTTGTTCACCAATCAGCAACAGGGCTCTGGCTCTGCACCCGATAAGGGTGATAAGGCTGATGGAAAGAAGAAGAACCGTCGAGGCAAGCGCAGTGGGAAGAACAAGGACAACAAGGGCAAGGGCAAGGCTGATCACAGTCATGTCCATGGAGTCTCCAAGATCACTGGCTCCCTCACTATTGGTTTGATCGCCTCGCTCACTCCGTCTATCCCTGCGCCGACGATCTCGCATGTCACGCACATCTCTCGCGATGGACCCAAAATCCGCGCGGTTCAAGAGAAGTCTCCCGTTAACAACAATGGGATTATTGACACCGAGTTCCAGAAGCCTACTCGTAAGGTCTTCGAGCTGGCCAAGAAGATGGATGTGACGGTGACCGCAGAACGCTTCCGGACTCTCCACAAGATCGTCAATGAGAAAGGAATGCTCCGCGAGGACGCAATCATGCGTTCTCCATCTCCAGTTGCTTCCGGCTCGAATCACACTCTGGATGGTGGTCCTCCTGCCAAACGCAGTCGTATCGAGGAGATCCCCGACGTCGAGATGGCCACCGGCCAACAGAACGATCTTGATCTTCTGTTTGGAGATAGCAAGTTCGCCCAGGCTGAACCCGTCAATTGGGATGAGGTCGTCGACTTCAACACCCTTCTGGAGGAGATGGACGCTCCTTCCGCCGAAAGGCAAGTACCCTGCCTTCTTGGGCATATGCACAATTCTGATTGTTGCTCACAGCCAGAGCGCGTAATCACCGCCGCCCCGGGTTCTGTACTTAATTCGTTGATGATTTGTTCGCATGATTTTTGTACCAATCTATTCTGTGTGCACTCCGATTTTGCTGCCTGCTCTAAGTGTAAGGGGAAACATCATCATCATCATGAATTAGGGCCTCTATGGCTTCTTGATTCAGGTGCATCTCTCCATGTGACATCGGAGATTAGTGATCTGGTCGGATATGAGAAGCTCTCAGATCCTATTGTTGCTCAGACCGCTGATAAGAACACACGTGTTGCCCTTATTGGTCGAGGAACAGCCTTCATCGATCATTACGTCACAAGGCATGGAGAAAAGACAATGGTGACTTCTCAGATATATCCAGTGTACCTAGTGCCAGGATTACATGGTCGTCTCATGTCTTTGGGCTCCTTACTCAAAGGAGGATCTCGTGTTCGTGGAGACGAATCGCGGATCAGCTTACATCGAGGGAAGTCCCCACTCTTGATCATGGAGTTTAGAACTCTAGGGAAGGACATTGCCTTGTACTTCCTGATGTCAAAGCCTAGCACGGCTGAGACAGTGCGATCCATGTCCACTGTTTACAAGGTGGATTATGAGATCATGCACCGGCGATTTGCACATCCGTCGAAAGACGTTTTACGTCAGGCAAAGAAGAATACCAAGGGCTTTCCAGAAGACCTAGTATTTCCCAAGGAAACCCGACCGTGTAAAGGATGCGCGCAAGGGAAAATGCACCAACGTGCCTTCCTGCCTTCCGAAAAACGAGCGGAGAATCCGTTTGATTTGATCCACTCGGATCTCAAACAATTTCCCATGGTGTCTTATTACAAGTACCGCTACTTCATGAGCTTCTTCAACGAAGCACTCTCCTATGGCTGGACAGTATGCCTTGCGCAGAAATCCGATGCCAAGCAGGCTATGCGCAATTTCATTGCGATGGTCAAGAACCAGTTCAATGTCACCATCAAAAAGTGGCATATTGACAATGCACCTTGGACAGTACCAATCCATACCTACTTAGGTCAATTCATACATGGTGGATAATTGACCTAAGCTGGACCTGGGCACTGGGAACCAAAATGCTGGGGACAGCGGGTGGGCCCATGGATACTCTGTGGGTGGACCCAGACCCTACCTGGCACATCAGTGCCAGAAAAAAATTTGCCTATTTTGACCTCAAAATTGCCTATTTTGGAAGATTCTGGGACACTTGCTCAGAACTGGGAATGAGGATGGGTATTGCTTAAAAATAGAATATAGTTCATTGTATCCAGCTATAACAAGCCAGTGGAGCAATTCTGAACACGGGACTTTCTTTTCAGGCTAGGTTTACCTGCTTTTGCACAAAACTTTGATCCACATCATTTTCCAAGTGATCTTATCATGGGGACCGTTTTTGATGCTGCGCGCTAACCGGTGATCCAATCACTTGTGTGTTTAGATGAAAGTTGTTCAGTTTTGCGAGGGCTACAACTTTGATTTTTCATCATTTTCTTTGTCAGCATCAATCACATGCTCTACTGCCATGCGGAATGGCCCTGTTTTTGATTGCGCATTGATCCAAAGCAGGGGGGAACAAGAAAGTGCCATTTTTTTCGAACTTGCTTCAGTGGTTTATCTCAATCTTGTTGAGACAGACTAATTTAATATCCTGTACTCTTTTCCCTCTCTCTTGCTTTGGATCTCATATTCTAGGAGAGTATCACCCTAAAAGCTCATTGCAATGTTGAGGGGAGTGTGGAATCCACCCAGAGAGTCCCTATTCCACTCACAACGTAAAATCACTGTCAGGGGAACCCCTGCTTTCGTCCGATCATCATGGGATCTCGCATGTGACCGCGCACGTGCCATCTGTCAAGCGTCACATGCTTCGGTCCGGACTTCCCTGCCAAGCGCGTCCACATGACACTCCGGCCCGCACCCCCATTGTTCCGACGGTCCGGCTCCCATTGTTCCCCCCGATCCGGCCCCTCATTGTTCCCTGGCCCCATTGTCTGGCGCTTCCATTGTGCTTGGTCATCCATTGTTCTGTAGGCTATATATAGTGGGCCCTGACAAGGAGAGTCCCCAACTCGGTTTCTCTTTGGACTCTCCCTTGTCAGGTTTGCCAGTCTCCTGTACTAGTCGATCCCCTTATCTGACGCTTTGGACTCTCCCTTGTCAGGACTCTGAGATCGGGCCTCGAGGTTGCCCTTACAATCACATGCACTTGAATGAAATAGATGTAGCCTGATTTTTAGATCAATGAAGTGCGGAAAATTTCCAAAATGACTACTGCAATGAAGTGAAAGATTCCTTTGAGTTCCTCAAGCAAGAACACCTGCATTATAAAGGGCACTTTTATTTTCTACCTGTGACCCATGCTTTCACTGTATTCTTTGTCTCTATCTTTATATTAATCTCAATAACTCTTCCTTGTAACAATGAAAGCATGAATCAAGTAAATTCAAGGTGTAGAAATAGCTGGTTATGTGGTAAAGCAGGATGGGCAGGCAATGGTTACTTTGCATATATCTATGCAATGGCTGGCTCTACTGTGTACATTAAAACAGTAGCACATTACTTGAAAGGCACAAAATGTTAGAAAGAAATATGAATGTGCCTAGAGAAGCATGTACTGTTAATGACAAGTCATGAAGGGTATCATTGAAAGAATTAGGATATAGAGGCATTGAACAACAGTGTAGAAGCTTTGAAGAGTACAAGTGCAAGAAATCAGACAAAAGAATATATCCTAAAGAGCTGAGAAGAAACCCACAACATGAGCATGTGCTATTCCAAAACTGAGGTGAATTTCATATTTGGGTTGCTATAAGTTGCATCAAATTATCCCCAAAAGGAAATCACATGCACAATATGTTCAATTTTGATTATGTGAGTTGAACATGCAACCCAAAATGGAAGCTATGCCACATCTATGATCCAATCACACATAGCCACATCAAGATTAGATCTCTCTAAGATATGATTGTTAGGGTCCACCATCGAGTAAGCAGATAGTGCAATCTAGTTCTGAAAGATAAGATGAGATTAAAACATGCA